TCAGGGCTTTGTACGTAAGAACTTGCTCCTTGAATTGGGACCGGAAAATGAACGGCAGCCAATGGAGCTCCTTAAACAAGGGGGGGTTGACCACTCCCTGTAAGTTGCTCCAGTTAGGTCTGTGTTTTTGTTCTTTTTATCACTTTTGACTACTGATGCTGCTACGTTACGCTGCTGTACATTTGTGAGGAGGGTCTTTTGTTAATAAGCCCACTCGCCCAACAAGAGATACATTTTTGATCACCTTTCCGTGGCCGTAAAATGGAAGGAAAGGGAAAAGAGAAGCCAAAAGCTCACAAAAATATGATTTTAACACCTACTGAAATAAATGAATGCATGTGTCCTGGCCAACTTTAAATCATTTACCTTTCGGCAAGCTTTTCATGTCTACTTCATTTTCGGAGTTTTCATTCGAGCCATCCTGATTCATGGATTCATCCAAATTTTGTTCGTCATCGGAGCCAACATATTTTGTTACGACTGTGGGTTTCCTACAAGGGAAGAAGACACAAAGATATAAGAAACATGCATGTATAGCACTTTAACAAACTCCCTGACCTTAGTGAACCAGGTAATTCAAACAAGCACAAGGCACATCACACCAACCTTTTGGAGCGGGATGATCCTACGGATTTGGATTTTTCAGAAGAACTGCTACCCTAAATGGAGAGGAAACACACACAATTTGAAGTATCTGATGGAACATCAGAACAGACACGTCCCTCATCTCTACATGTAGCTAAAAGTCAGTTTTCCGCACCCCACCACCAATATTATTCTCAGTTTACAATTCATTTCTTAGGGATAGAGGACAGGTGCATCTTCAAAATGTCTGTAAATGTATCAAAGTTTTACAAAGTTACTAAAACTAAAAGGTAAAGGTTTCCCCTTGACATTAAGTCTAGTCGTGTCCGACTCTGGGGGGTGGCATTAATCTCCCTTTCAAAGCCAAAGAGCTGGCATTATCCGTAGACACCTTCAAGGCCATATAGCCACTGACATGACTGCATGGAGCGCCGTTACTTTCCCGTCAAAGCAGTACCTATTGATCTACTCACATCTGCATGTCTTCA